CGCGGCTCACCACCACTCCGCCGCCATCGCCGCCGCGATCACGGACAAGCTCAGCGCAAGCCGAGACACCAGATAGCTCAGGACGCAATAGCTCCGAGGCAGCGGCATTAGATGTGGGAAGCATCGCTGAGAAGCTGAGTACGGGAGGGAAGGGGAGGTCGAATGGTCAAGATGCGCCGGTGCAGAGGGAGGAGGAGGCAGATGAGAAGACAGCATTGCTAGCAGAAGGAGAGGGAGCTGGTTTCAAGGAGGCGCCGGGGAGCAGATTGTGGGCGATACCGAAACGCATGGGGCAGGCGGTCATTCATGGCGTGCAGGTCGTCTTCACCACCCTGACCGCGCCGGGTCGATATGTGATTGCCTGCTTCTACGACGAGCGAGGCCACTTCTCGGCAGTCCTCCCACTGCGCAATTTCAAGAACCTCATGCTACGGCGACGGCGGCGGTCTACAGCGCAAGCAGTTGGCCTTGGTGGAGCTCCGGAGCCAGACGAGAAGAAATCACGACAATCGCATCGAGCTTCAAGCAGGCGATCAGCCTCGGTGGATAGCAATGGCTCATCCAGTACCTTCGCCTCAGACGCCGAGCGCGAAGGCGAGAAACCCGACGACAGCCCTGCCCGCCACACCCGCTCCCGAACAGCCGCCGCCCAACAACCCACCTCCGACCCACCTCCCCAAAAACGCAGCATGAAAGTCAAACTCCAATCCAACGACGAAGTCCTCCGCAAACGCCGCGCCGCCGCCGCCCGCCAACACCACCAAAAGAACAAATCCTCCCCCTCCACCCACCCCACCAACCTCGACGACGTAGCCCAAGCCCTCAAATCCCCCTCCTCCCCAAACACCCACGACACAAAACTCACCCGCTACCCCCGCGCCCCTGCACCCCCTCGACCTTTAGTACCCCGGCGCCAACCGTCATACACCCTCTCCTACTCCCCCGACACCCCGAAGAAAACCCTCATAATCGACCTCGACGAAACCCTCATCCACTCCATGGCCAAAGGCGGCCGCATGAGCACGGGACACATGGTCGAAGTCCGTCTCGGCGGCTTTGTGCCTACCCCCACCTCCCCCACCCACACAACCCCCCAACCGCCACCACCACAATTCGGGAACGGTGTGCCGATTCTCTACTACGTCCACGAACGCCCCGGCTGCCACGACTTCCTCCGCAAAGTGAGTAAATGGTACAACCTCGTCGTCTTCACAGCTTCCGTGCAAGAATACGCCGACCCGGTGATCGATTGGTTGGAGAGGGAGAGGAGGTATTTTGGGGGCAGGTATTATCGGCAGCATTGCACGTTAAGGAATGGGGCGTATATTAAGGATTTGGCGCAGGTGGAGCCGGATTTGAGTAGGGTGATGATTTTGGATAATAGTCCGATGAGTTATATTTTTCATGAAGGTGCGTACAACATCCATACAACCCAGGGTGGTGGTTGGATGGCTGATTGTGATACAGATAATGCCATCCCGATCGAGGGCTGGATCAGCGATCCCACGGATAACGATTTGATTCATTTGGTGCCTTTGCTGGAGGGGCTGCAGTATGTGACTGATGTGAGGGCGTTGTTGGCGTTGCGGCAGGGGCAGGCGCAGCAGGCTTGAGGTGACGAAGACGGCGTGAGGAGACGGAGTATGCTTGACGATACGAGGGGGGATCGAAGAGAAGAATGGTGTTTGACGAGACGAAATACACCTCAGAGAACGAGACGCGGCGGGCTGGGGTAGACGAGGATCACGTTGGGCGACCACGGTTGTCAGGAAATTGGTGTTCATAGCGATGGCGCATCTGGAGTTTCGATATATCTTTGGGGCTTTTGCTGGCTTTAGAGGAGGGTGACGGTGGATGTATTATATGGTTCATGTCTTCAACAAGAAACGGCATGTGTACAGAAGCAAAAGTTCGCATTTGCACTTCAACATATCGCTATCATTGCACGTATTCTCGCTGCTGTGTCCTATTTAAAATGCCAAGTCCAGACTTTGACCTCACCTCCTTCGACTTCGTAACAAGATTCCCGACCGTTCTTTTACGTTTATTTGCGACACCGAGATCATGCTCAGAATGACCGCGGTAGCACATCGAGAGAGAAACCTACCAACAGCAATTCCGCAATAGCTCATCCTTCGCCGCCGGCCGCAATGCTCACAACGTCGCTACAACCATGTTCATCAAAGCCATCCTAACGCTGGTAACCACATGTCTCCTCATCACGATCTCCCTAGCTGCATACCGCCTCCACACCATCCTCTCCCCCCATCGACCCAGACCTACCCGGAAACATGGCGACCCCGTCCACCTCCTCATCATCCTCGGAAGCGGCGGCCACACCGCCGAAATGCTCTCCATGCTGTCCCGCACCATCTCCTCACCCGACCCAGCCCTCCAACTAAATTGGAGCAGCCTAACCTACCGGACCTGGATCACCAGCGAAAACGACACCCTCTCAGCCCAACGCGCCGTAGTCTTCGAGCGCGAAACCGGCAGCGAAGTCGAGGCGAAGTACCGGCGGGATATGCACGCCCCCCCGCAGAAACCGGCGCAGATTGTTACCGTGCCGCGGGCGAGGGAGATACATCAACCGCTCTACTCTGCTCCCATCTCTAGCCTACGGTGTCTGCTAGCGAGTGTTGTTGTGCTGGTCAACTGTGCGGCGCAGGGGAGGGGGTATCCGGATGTGGTGTTGTGTAACGGACCTGCTACTGCTACGATTGTGGTGTTTGCGGCGCTGGTGTTGCGGTTCTTTGATGTGAGGGGTGCGCATACGCAGGGGAAGTTGAGGACGGTGTATGTGGAGTCGTGGGCACGGGTGAAGAAGTTGAGTTTATCGGGGGTGTTGTTGGAGAGGGTAGTGGATCGGTTTGTGGTGCAGTGGCCACAGCTTGCGGAGGGTGGGAAGGGGAGGAGGAGGAGGAGGGAGTATTTGGGGGTGCTCGTTTGAAGGAACGGAATCAGGAGGTCATGGTTGCATGGAGGGGAGTGTATTGATTGCTATGGCGCAATCTGACCTCCATCTTGTTGACGTTCCCCGCCGCAGCATCGCAGGTCCTGCCTCTAGCGCGCCTGGTCGTGCATGATTAAACCTCCTGTGCCCAGCTAGATCGGTCGAGGATATGCTGTGCTGCTCGAAGACCCAATGTCCGCACAAAATCCACTCAACAGTCACTAGACACCTGTCGGCCTTGCCCTGCCAGCATCTCAACCCTTCCTCTTCGTCCTCTCCGAACCCACCGCTGCACCATCATCACGGCTGTCAAGCTTACGCTTCTTGCCCCCGGCGTTGCTCTTCTTCTCGACCTTTGGTTTGAGCATCTCTGGTTTCAATATACGCTCGAACGTGGGACTCCCGGTGAACGTCACAGCCTCCAAACTTCTGATTGAGCGCAGTTCCGGGACACCCCGCATATTCATGACACTCTCGAACTTCTTGTCGTGTAAATGGTGACCCTCCGGGCGCCAGCGCGCGAGCCAGCGTTCTTCCGAAGGGGCGAGCATAATATCAAGCCTGCGAAGATGCTTGACCTGAGCCAGTTTCGTAAACAGCTTTGCGGCGTGCTGATTTTGCCCGGTCATGCAGAATGAGATCGAAGTTACGTGCTGGAGTCGCTGAGGCGCGATGTTGTTGAGCATCCGGGTGAGACTCTCGATGTTCTTGCAATGAAAAAGATTTATTCTTGTGAAGACCGGGCTAGCTTCGATATAGAATTGCTTGTTGGTAAGCAGAGGCCGCAAGATGTCCCGCATCGGCATAGTCTCGATCTTCGGGGAGCCCGTTGAGCTTGATCGTTGCGCTGGCTTCCATGCCTCCCAGCTGAACTCATTTACCCACGAGGTTGAGACCATCCGAAAGCCTGGGGACGACTCGTCGACGATGCCTAGTCCGGACTTTGGGTACGCAAAGATCATTTCGTAGATAGCCTCTCGCAGCTCCGCGGGTAGTCCGAAAAAGTTGAACGTAGAGTTTGCTGCCCCATCTCTGCTTGGAAGGGTCGAGCCCAACATCTGCTCGCCTTCCAGCAAAGACACTGAGCGGTAATAAACGCCATTCTTCAGCTCTCTGTACAGCGGTGCCTCGAAGTTCCCAGAAGCTAGATTCAGAGCTGGGTGATGATTGGCGTGTTTGGGTCTGTCATGGGAGAGGAAGTGTGAGTAGTCGGAGAAGTTGTCGTCGCGGGGGTGAGAACGTGAGAGTTGTAGAGCAGCTTGCTTGCGGTACCACCGGATTGTCTCCAATACCCAGAGATGGATGTCGTCGATCGGAGCTTCACCGCCATGTACCAGAAGAGCCAAAACAACCAGCTGCTCTGGCGAGAACGGTGGCTTTTCGTCTGAGCATCGCCATGGCGCAATGGCTGCCTCGACTCTTTGTCGAATCTCAAGAGGCTCGGCGCCTGCGGGGGTAGTAGCTGTGCTAATCGCCATGATGGAGGACCGAACGGCTTTGTGCTGTTGTTTGACGAGAAGATAAGAGAAGGCGGAACGTCGACCATATATAGCTTCGAAGTGAACTCACTTCACATGCCATGAAACGTGGTCGCGTGATGAGCCAAGCAAACCTTATGTCAACTGTGAGGGCTGCAGTGAGTGAACAGACTGCTCATCTGATGCAACGTGGCGAATAGTAGTACGAAATGTGACCTGAGCACCAAAAGCATATATCACGTGCCGTTGAAAGAATTCCTGGTAAACTGTAATTCCTGATATCACCGATGATATGAATGATGTGGTCCTTTGCGATCGAAGAATACTGCAGCGACGATATGGGACTCCGTGATACCTAGTGATTGTGAAGTGACGTTCTGTGAGCGTAAGCAGAATGCTTCGTGGTAAATGATGAATTCTGTCTGTGAAGTGTTCTTTTACGACAAAGACAGAGCCTGCACTCGCGGCTGCAGTAAGACCAAAAGGAGGAACTTCGGGACGAAATGTCGAGGCTATTTGTTCTGTTTCGGCACGACTCCACTCATCATCACATGCGAAGGCAAGTGACTGCCGCAATGGCTCAGTGGTTACAGCGATGTCCCCACAGGTTCAGCTTACAGCTGGCTTGGTCAGGTACAATCTTCGGATGCCCGTGTTCGAATCACGGTTGTCGAGAAATATTTTTTTGGTTTCCACAAGTCCTTTGTGGGCAGAGATCCTGATCCCGACACCTCCGCGTGTCACTGGAGTAGAGGTTGATTTGTGGCAAACATTTCTGATTCAGTCGTCCATGCGGCTGTGGGATGCTCGATCCGACCTCGGGAGCTCATGTGCGTGCCTTCTGTGTCCTGAATGTATGCTGGAGTAGAAAGTGCAAGTGCGGTTGCCGAAAGCTCAAGCTAAGGAAGGGTGGGATCTTTGCCGAAGGAGGCACGTACGGCATCGATCATACCTACTCAGACGTGCGCTTGCAGTGACGACTTGGCACATCCTATGCATGATCTCCTCGAACATGCTCGATTTTTACGACTGGTATCGAGATGGGGTTGGGTATGTGGTCTGCGACTTTCGGAGTCATCACTGCTCTTGTGTCAGAGTCTTGAAGCACTGCATAAGAGGAACGGAGACGCCGCGTCGCGGCCTAAGGAAGCCGAAAGGAACGAGCGGACTCTTGTAGGTGTCGAGAGGCAAGAGCGCACAAGCTGAGGTCAAACTTGATATGGCGCTAAGAAATTAGCTTTCCACACTAAGGTTCAAAGCTCACTTTGGCCAATCATAAGTGAGAAAAGCAAAGCGAGTCGAACTCGTTATCGCGGTCATATCCCTCAGGAGACCACAGAAATAGCTGAACTGTGCCGTTGAGTAAGCAGCTATGAACTGAAATTTTACAAGAAAGGTTGCAGAGCCTTCCCTGAAGATCCTACTGACCGTGTCCTCACCTGCAAATATCTTCCCGAGCCCATCATAGGTCTCGCTCTTCGAAACACACACCCTGCTGACGAACTACACACCCCGACAAGGCCTGCCCGCAAACCTCATCTACCGACACAGCTCGCTACACGCTGTGGCCTCGGCATTTGATCCACTGACTCCGCGGAGAACGATGGCGCGAAGCGTATCTTGCGCCTTCCAACAATAAAATGGGTCGTGGTATCGAGGACCCGACTCCCCTCGGATCCGTGCTCTTTATGGCAACGACAAAGCCGCCTATCAAAAAGCATTTCGCGCTTGTGATCAGGACATCGAATTCACACTCACTCTCGGCATGAAATGCTTTGCAAAGTGGCAAGCCAGCATGACACGTGCGTCGCGCTGGGAGCTGTATTCGCACCCTGGGAAGCAATGTCTAGAAGACCTAGCATTGGCTCTGAGGACCGGCCAAGGACCATCGCGGGACTATGTGTTCGTCTCAATCGACTTCGAAGGCGGCATTGGCGCAGAGGTCAAAGAACTTGGTGTCTCGTCTTTCGAAACCAAGCAAATCTTTCACAATGCTGGACGACTAGACATCTATAACGAACACTTCTCCTTGTCGAGGGGAAGCCGAAAGTCCGACTTCTCGACGAGTACTAAGATCACTACCGACACGCTACCACAAGTCCTCCGGGACTTATTTGAGTCTCAACAAAATATTGTTCTTATCGGACACGGTTTATGGAGCAGGGAGATTCAGCTGATGGATGAGTATGGGGTCGAACTAGAATCCTTGTCGAATGTTGTTGGTAAGTTTGACTGATGGGAACGAGGGTTCTTTGCCACGCAAGCAAGCACTATGCCTCGCCTGGGAACCGACTCCATCTCTGTCTAGCTTCTCGGGACAACTGCTGACTCTTCTGTCCCTCACTTTAGGTACCATCGACGCAGCATCCCAGCCTTGTTTCAAAGGGCAACGGTTGGTCGATACTCTCCGCGCCAACAACATTCCACATCGCCCCGGATCGCTTCACTGTGCCGGCAACGATGCCCATTACACATTGCGGTTAATACTGGCATTAACGCTCAAGAATCTGAGTCATTTGGACGGAACACCGGAGTTGTCTAACTCTATCGAAGCGATGCGAGAACTGATTGCTCGGCCAGTGTCGGTCTCAGATGTGAAAGAACGAAAGGAAGAAGATGACTGGCTAGATGGTGACCTCAACACCGACATGTTCATGGATCTCGGAGAGGAGGGAGATCGATGAGGCGAACAGTCTCCACTCGATGAAACAAGCTTTCTGCTGGCTGTCTGCCGAATGCGCACCAAGGCGATACGTCCGAAGTGACCGATATCCAGGTCACATCTTCAGCGCTATGCAAACACCCTTTCCACCTACCCCCCTGCACCATGCCGGCACCACATGCATCACCGTGGCCAGTGCCGGCTTTCGTGCAGAATCGACGATATGAAGTCTCGGCTACTGCCCAGACCACCGATTTTGGGGAACTCAGAGACCGGGAGGACGACTATGAACGACCGTCATCACATTTACGGTGGCCTCGATATCAACGGTCGGCGGGCGCAGGCCATCAAAGGTGGCCGAAGATGAGAAGTGGAAGCCAACATAGAGTCCACTGGATCCGAGAAAGCACTCATGACTGTTACACACACTCTCGTTCGTTATCCTCGTCTGCGCCCATCTAACCCGAGCGAAGGCTTATTTACAGAAGTGAACGCGGCTCCGCTAGCTCCATCTCTGCTCCGCCTCCCACTCATGTGACCTTCGCGTCGCCTGCCCGCCCGTATGCATCTCCGGTGAGAGAACCCCACCGCCGCCCTCCCGCCTTCACGCACGATCACACAACAGAAGAAAGGAACGTTCATAGCATACCTCGAACCATCTACTCCTGGCCGAAGCCAACAGTCTCCTCCACAGCCCACGAAAGCTTCTCCTGCAACGCTTCGAAGGACTTGTAAGGCGGCAGATCCAGTCTGTTGAAGCAGGTATGCGATTTCGGCAGCTGTTGCTCTTCGCCTGACTTTTCGATCGTGAAGCGTCTTGGGCCATCGGAACCTTGGAGGTCCTTGAAGCCGTTGACAGGGATACGCGAAGTACCAGTCGCGAATTGCAGGAGGCGGGACTTTTGTTCTGCGTCCCAGCTGCGGATGCACTGTAGAAATTGTCAGCAAGGAAACCAGGTTGGTCTGTCCGACGCAACTCACCTTCCAGAAATTCTGGACCACAGCATCACTCTCCGTGTACCCACGGTAATCGGTGTGCTTCTTCCAGTCGTCGACATCGATATCAGCGATACCGCCAATGAGCAGCTCCAGCTCCCTCTCGTCAAACACATTGACCAGATCCGCAGGGATCAGCTCGTGGAAGCCAGTCACAAAAGCATTGAACTGCTCATCCACCCGCTTCTGGATCCGCCACTCCGTGATAAGCTCCACGTACTCCCGCTTGTTCTCGTTTGTGACCTCGATGTCCTGCCCACCAGGCTTGAGGTCCACAGTAACCTTTTCGCCGAAACGCTCGTCCTCCACGGAGAAAGTGCTGTAGATGACATCGGTGATATCGTTGTCCATGGTCCAGCTCAGCGTCCTGTGAAATTCTGCATCAACACCCTCCATATCCTGCAGCGAAACCTTCTTCTTCAACACCATCTTGTAAAACGCGCCAATGAAGAATGCGTCCAAGAAGCGTCGGTGGAAGATAGCCAGGCCAACAACTCGTCCAATAAACTTGAAGTAGCCCAGATGCTCTGGGTTGATGCCGGAGTGTGGATTGATCTGCAGCGTGTAATTGTCGTGCGCTGAGTACTCGAACAAGCAGTAGAAAGGATTGAACATCTCGTGTGAGAGGAGGAAGAAGAATTCTCGGGATAGACCGCCGTAATCCAGACCATCTTCACCGTCGAATTTAATCATCAGCCGCTTCTTGAGGTCGTTCGGGCTTTGTCGCATGATCTCCGCATACGAGTCCTCGAAGATGTGCGTTCGCCTGACCTTAACGTGGCATTGGCCGGACAGGATCCGCAGAGCTGGTTGAGATCGGAAGTAAATCAACTTCCGCCTGAAGTCACGCTTGTACTGCGGCACGTTCTGATCCAGCGAAGACGGCAACCTTGGATCGTCCCAAGTCGTGGTCTTAGTGTTGTGGTCGACGAAGTATACGCGTGCAGTGTTGGTCAAGCGCATCTCCCAGCCGCTCGGCAGAGGTCCAAGCTGTGAAACAGGCTGCTGCTGAATCGTGGTGTTACCAGTGCCCGCGTTTTGGCCGTACATCCTTATATACTGCTGGCGACGCGGATCGACCCAGGTGGTTGTGCGGGTGTTATGATCGACAAAGTACGCTCGTCCCTCAGGAGTGTGCCGTTGCTCCCAGCCCGCAGGCAGCTCACCTGTGCCAGCAGTAGTCGCACCTGTGGCCACCATGTGCGCCGCATTGGCCGCGCCCGCAGCTGGCGGAGGCGGTTGTGACGGGGAGTTCTGCCTGTCAGAGAGTGTAGGTGAGTTCGCGCCAGTTCGATCTTCTGGCAACATGCGAGCCTGATGTCTTGATCTCTCGACAGCCGTTTGCTGCTCCATCGCCGCCCGGTTCTCTCCAGCATTGAAGTTTGCCGTCGGCCTGATCCACGTCGTCTGACGGGAGTTATGGTCCACGTAGTATGTCCTGCCCAGATTGTCCTCTCGCCTCTCCCAACCACCCGGCAATCTTCCTTGCGCATCTTCAAACGCACTGAAGCCGCTCTCGTTGGGCCGTCGTGCTGCGCCAATTGCGCCATTGGCACCCGAAGTTGTAGCCACGCTAGTGCTAGTGTTTGATCGAGATGCGGATGGAGGGCCGGTAGTGCTGACGGGTCTATCGCCTGACACTGCCAGAGAAGTGGATGATTGTGCGCCCATCGGAGTAGTAGGTGTAAGAGTGCCGTTTGCAGATGGCCCAGCCGATGATACTGATGGTCGGTTCTGGTTGTTGGCGTTTGCGATCGGAGTTCGTAGGTTAGTGGAGAGGTTCAAGATTAGCTTGCCGTTGACAACAAGGTTATCATTCGACTTTCGCAGGTCCTTGGTAATCATTTCTGTTTGTGTCAGTGCTGCACGCGGTGAATGATGATTTCGCCAAGACATACCATCACCACCAGCATCCAGGTCGATTGCAGAGCCGATATGGACATTAACCACGCCGAGAAAGCCCTGGTCCTTCTTCTTGAACTTCTTCTGGTCGAAGATCTGTACCGCTAGTATGCTG